AAAAACTGTAGTTTCAAGTGGTGTTTGGAAAAAAATCCATGTTAGAAAATTCCACAGAAAATGTTTCACAGCTGCTCAGACTTTAAGGAAAGGTAATACTTCCAGATGCACTCGAGAAAAATCTCATTTACCTGATTTTGAACCTAGCGTACCACTGAAGTTAATGAGATGTAAGATCTTGTCATTTAGCTGCTTTTGAAAATTTTACTTAATGATCAATGCCAGATTTTCCAAAGTATTTATTTTCATGTATTTCAAAAACTGTTGTTACGATGCTTTTATTATGATTCAGCATTCCTTTGGTCTACTTGACATAAATATACAATAGTACAAATTTTATGGTAAATCTCCTTTACCTTACTAAAAAGAAAAATCAGTCTTTTGTTGCTTTCATACCGGTAGAAAACATAACAGAGGGTCATAATGTGCTCATGACTAAGGGCGGGTAGGGAACCGGAGCAGAGAGACATGGGAAGACGTTTAGGGGTTTTGCTAAGTGGAAGTGAAGCTTCTGTGCATTAGCAGTGACTGGGGAGGCGGCAGGGCAGCAGGGAACGCTGCCTGCTGGAATCGCATCCTTGATCTGACTCTCACTGACAGTCAGCAGCAACCGAGGTCTCCAAAGGGAAACGGCTGAAAGAAAAACAGGGGAAGAATCAGGTGAAGGGAAAAACCTTGGCAGAGAGAACAGGTAGCTGCAAAGTTAAATAAAAATTAAAAGTAGTCCTTTAGTGTAATCTCTTGAGATCTTGTGATGGATTTGTATCGTAAATCGTAAAGGATTTGCCCTTGAATGGCAGAAGGGTGTGAGGCAGGATGAGACCAGGGAAAGGCTGACGACAGAGAAAACGTACGAGAGAGTGGGTGGATAAAAGTTCTCAAATATAAAAAAAATGCAATAGTTGGAAAGAGCAGAAAAGGAGAACATTAAAAGGTTGACAGTTCAAGGGAAACACAAAACATTCACTTCTGCAGGACACTGCAGAGAAATGTTATCTAGGGGTTTTGGTAGTGGTCGTATCTCTTTTTGCAGGGATACAGTGCCGGTATTTTCACCAGGGCTGTGTGTAACAGCGTTTGAGATCTCCAGCTCAGGCACTCTGGGTTTTCCTGAAGAAAGCAGTTCAATGTAGCACGTCCACCTTGCCCTTCAGTCTCGGGGTTCCCTTGGCTGTGGGCGCTGGGGTCGTGCTGTCAGCAGGGTGAGGGTGGGAAGGCAAATTCCTGTTGCAGCAGCAGTTCATGGCATTCATTTCAGTGGTGGGTCGTGGAAGAGGGTCACAGTGTAACAAACAGCTACTCCCAGTGTGTTGGGCGGATTGTGAAACTGCTCCTCCCGGCACCGCTCCGGTACGCCCGTGTGCTTTTCCACCACGACTCGCCCATTGTGCACGTGTCCATCGTGACGCTTCGCAGGATGGTGGGGTGATTAGAAAGAGCTATGTCCCAAGTGAATTGTCCTGTTCCCATACAGGGTGCATCGGCTGTGGTGGAGATGTTGCAGTAGCCCCCAGCTGCTTATCCCATTTAATTTTGGGAATTTCATTGCAGTGGTTTGTCCTCAGTCTTGTTTTCAAGGTTGCCAGCACAAAGCAAAAGGAGTGGCCTAATTTGAACTCCAAAAGATGCTCCTTCCATCACTTACGTCCCAGCTTGTCAGTGGCAATAGGGCAAGTTTATGCACTTCTCGCTGGATCTCACATTTGCTGACCTATTTCCAGTGTTAACCCATTTATGAAACCAGTGGTCCAAACTGTTGGCCATTTCTTGTCATCACCTTTTAGTAACTAAATGGGTACCTATTCATGAGGCAGGGCCGGAGGGCAGATCATAGCTCTGTGAACGTATCGGTGTATTTATACATTTTATTCCAAGACCACCTCCAGTATGAGTCTTGGTTCATGGGTAAAAATACCCTCTCTCGATCCAAGAGGGTATTATGATTTAGATGAGGAAATGAAAAGTGGATTTAGCTGGAATACTGCATACCACACTTGAGTGAGCTATTTACTCTTCAGGGGACTGAAATATTTTATTATTGGGCAACCAAGTGGAAGTAAGTGCAGAAGTTTAGTTGGGTATGAAATATCTACTCTTACACAGCATTTCTAAACTGTTAGCCAAATGAGAGATAACAACATTTTTCCCCATACTGTTTTTAAAGTGGCCAGTCTCAGTCTCTGATTCTGAGCAAACTGGGGGGTGTTTTTTGTCTTCAGTGAATAGTAGATGCGAATACGTTTTGAAGGCAATTAGGCGGAGTATTTTTATTTTTGCTCACAATACACTGCAAGCACAAAATCGCTAGCACAAGGCCGAAGGTTATTTACTCAGATTATATGCCATGCGATTAATTTCTTACCCACTTTTTTCTTTCTATTAGCAAAATTTTACATTTCCAGGAGATCTGTACAGAATTCTAATGGGTCAGATTACAAGGCTGAAAATAGTTATCCCTGGTGGCTGTGTGTGCAGAATATACTGCGTTAACGGGGTGCTTCTTGCTGCTCAGCTGTTCTCAGGTAACCTGCATCTCCCTCCCGGGGTCCCCGCGGCATCAGCTACCCTGAAATACTGCAGGTCAGCACATCCCGGAGAAGTGCATGGCTGTCATAAGGCCATTTGCTCCTGCTGTTCTTCAACAGCATTGCTCTAAAAAGATAACAAATGACATAAAACTGCCAAATAGGTCTGCAGGGAAGAAAAGGCCCGTTATTTCCCCAGCAGAAAGGAACATGTTAAACATTGCTTTCCTTCCCGTACCCCCCAGCTGCTGTTGGCAATTGCCGATCAAATCGCTGAGTGCTGCTTTGTCCTCCTCTGTGGCCACATGTCCCTGCCCCCTTCCTTTTTGCCAGTCACTGTGTTTCTGAAACTGCCCATACTGCGGAAGATAGCCAGGTGAAAACAAATGTGGCCACACACAGAGAGCAAAGGTCTCGGCGTGCTTTGTCTCCACCAGCAGAGAGTGGTCAATATGAGCATGTTCAGAAGGCAAACAGATCTCAGAGTTGGGTGTAATCGAGGAGGGGAGGTGGGGACAGGGAGGAGGAAGAGCAGGATCTCTGCTTTGGTGGGCAGCCCCATGCTTAGGTTTGCTGACGGTGGCTCGTGAGCCAACACCTTGGACCCACAGTGACGTATTCTTCCACAGGTTTGATGGGAGGCTCAGGCAGAGCACCGTGGGCTTTGCGTCATCTTCGTTACTGCGTATCTAGGGTATAGCTGTACAAGTGCTGCAGGAAGCTGAGGAGGTGATGGAGAAGGGGGCTTGCTCTGCACCATCTGACACCTGTTCTATGAATTATTTTCTAAAGATGATTTTATGATGTCATGTAAGTTGGAAGCCATGATTTCTGACAAGGAAGTCAACCTTGTCCTCAGTGTCCTTTTCTCTGGAAAAAGTAGAGTGAATCTTTAGTGCAAAAGAGATCTCCGTGTTAATTCACTATGCTTGCTATAACAACAGAGGCAGTTTTAAGGTTAGAATAGCATATAGACAAGGTGATAACTACCGCTCTGAAGCTCTTCTGGAGAAGAAGGCAAGAGGAAATTTTCCATTAACATTAAAAACAAATACGGAGGGTGATGAATAAATGCTTCCACCATGTTGCTTCTCCGTGATCAACAGACACTTGCCTAATCCCAGCATCTAACTGTCACATGATTAAAAATGTCTGAGATCTCACGAACCTATACAAGATTGTGTATAGCAGCATAAGGACTTGATTCAAATGCATAATTAATAGCTTCACTCAGCTTTATGTTGAAATACAAGGCATGTATCCAAGAGACGTACTGAAGTTTTTGCACCAAAGCAGCTCATTAGTGAAATGATGCTGATTAACTTTCTCACTTTTAGACAGTTGGCTGAAGGGGAGAAAGAAGTTTGAAGATATCTGTAAATTTGGGGGATGTCTTTGATATATTTGAGAAGCTAGCAAGTTAAAAAACTTCAAACAACCCCGAAACCCAGGCACATCCATTATTTTAACAATTAACTTTTACTTACCAAGAATGTATTTGGTATGTAAAAACATTTAAAAAGTTGCACATTGATAATGGTCATAAAGCATAGAAAATTCTGTGCTTGCTGATTAGGTATCTAGTAGTACAAGTGTAACCACGTACTTCACCAGAAACCCACCCTGCTCGTGACTCATGTGCAGTCCCTGCGGAGAACTTCCATGGATTCAGAAAAGACAACGTACAAAGCTTCTGTAGGTTCAACTGTAAATTATGCATTTATATTATACCCAGTGCACACATAGAAACACCACTGCTTTCTGAGGTTTTGCACTTTTACCATATTAATTCAGTAAAATAGTTAAAGTACTGGTTAATTTTAAGCCTGTAAAAAATACAGTTCAGTATTGGGCCCAAACATATTACCTTCTTGTTAGTTTTAGCTATCTTAATTTCTGCTTTTGAAGGAACATTAATCCAATTCACCTTTTTTTTTTTTTTTAAAGTATATGCCAGGATTCAGCTGTTTTATTTCAGTTTGGTAGCACTGAGTTGTTTTTTTACGTCCTAACTGATTGTAATGACAGCTAAATGTCAGCTTCATTTATATCTTAGCTCAGAATATAAACAGAAAAATACACAAAAAGGAAAATGTTTTGTTACACACTCTGTGAATTATTTTTGCTGTGTACCTTATGGCAAACAGTTTTGATTCTGCATGTGACTTACAGTCCAAAAGCCATACCGATACATTTTTCTGATTAAATTATTTTCAGTTCTTTGCATCTAGTGCAGAGAAAACACTGCTATTAAAATAAATGGATACCAAAAAAAAATTGGAACTTTGTTGCAACATAATTCTATCAAGAAAAAACCCACAATATTTTTATATAACATTTTGGATATATTTTATGTCAAAACATGATCACCAGTCAAACTAGTGGCATCTAAACCCAATACATTATTGTGACTTCTAAAATAAAAAATCAGAACAAAACTAAATTTATTATAGCTCTGCCTTCATTAAACACCATGTGTTGGTGATTTAAACACAACAAAACTCTAGTATTCTTCAAAAGTGTCTACTAAATATAATAAAAAGAATAAGAGAACAATTAACATTTAGTCTGTTACATTAAAAAACTGGATGTACGTATTTCTATTGCCTGTTAGCTTTACCTAAGCCTTTCCAACTACTACAAAAATAAACAGAAAAAAAGAAAACTCATTGTTCAAAGTCAAAAACATTCAAATCAGTTGATACAACATTACAGTACAGTCAACTAAGATCATCCAGGGTCTCCTCCTCTCAGCGTACGAGTCCTTAGACCAGTGTTACAAACCTAGTTCAATGCAGTTTCAAAACTGTATGTTAGCTTTGCAAGGTTCTGTACTCTACTGATGGCTTCAGAAGAATGGGGTTGTGCTACTTTTGACTCACAGGGTAACCCCAGCCTCTCATTAATTTTATTCAGCACTGTAGTTAGAACAGCATTAGGTTTAGCACAATAACTAAAAAAAGGAAAAAGGAAAAAAAAAAATCGGAAGCTAGGTGAAGCTGCCATTTGTGTCAAACAATTGCGATACGCTATACTAAAAAATTCTGAAATATCCACCTGTCCTCACCGCTCTGCCACAAACTAGCAAAGTCAAAAATAGAAAAGTCTTCAACTTCTCGTTTTTGCAGAATAAAGCAAAAAAGTCTTTGTGCTCCTTACTACCAGAAGCAAAATATCCTCTGAGTTACCACATGTAATAGCTTCTGGATGTGTCGACTTGGGTTGGCTTGGTCTCTGCAGAGCCATCCTTGTCTTTTTCACTGTCACCTTCCCAGAGATTAATAAGTGGAGGGTAGAGCTCATTCAGTGGGATTGAAGAGGTCTTTTGCATATATTTTTTCAATGAGTGGTGGTAGTTTTTTCTCTTAAATCTTTTTGCAATATAAACAGAAACGGAGGCGAGGCTAATGACGGCAAACATGGATCCCATTACTGCTGCGAGGGCAGTGCTGGTTTCTTGGTCTGAAATATCTAGCGCAAAAGCTGCGTTTTTTGTCGTAACGTTAACGCAGGACTTCTGTGTTTGCTGATGGATATTTGACACAGTTAGACACACTTCATAATCTGTAGATGGTTGTAAATGCGTGAGGTTATATTCATGGACATCAACCGGGACCCTAGCAGTGTACGTAATGTGAGGGTTGTCAATCTTCATAGTGGCCGATGACCATTTTAAATTGGAGGTCATGACGTTGGAATTAACTTTCCAAGAAACCAAGATTGAATGCGATTCGGCTTGCTTAACGTAGATTTTCAGAACCTGGGTACCATCCAAAAGCGTTCCGTTCACCCGGATAGTAGCGACCCTCGTGTCAGCCCCTTCTATGTTTTGCGCAACACAGGTGTATCTCCCGGAGTCTTCAACCTGGATGTTAGAGATTTCCAAGGTGCCTTCGCTACTCAGCTTGTATTTGTCAGAGAGACTTTCGACAGTTACTTTATTGCCGAGAGGAGTGACCCAGTAAATTTCTGGCTCGGGTTCTGCCATGGCCCGACAGTCCAAAAACACTGTCATGCCAACGTCCAAGTTTAAGTGATTTGGAAAGGTCTCACGAGAGATCATTGGAAGACATTGTTCGTTGGAATCCTGTATTAACACTTCCTTCACCTGCTGTCCTCTGTATTCTGGAGGCATAGCGCAAAACATGGATAGAGGTTCCATGAAACGGATGTTGGTTTTGTTCGAGTTGATCCAGTGAATGACACAGTCACACCTGAGCGGGTTACTGTGGATACTGATCTCACGCAGGTTTGGAAGGGATTCCACTGTCTTTTGGTAGACTGCATTCAAGGCGTTGTTGTTCAGCATCAAGCTCTCCAGGGCAGGGACGTTGCGAAATGCCAAACGATGTATGTAAGACAGCTTTGGATTGTTGGTGGCTTCAAGCTTTGTAAGTTCAGGCAGGTTGTCTAGCGCATACCTATCAACAGAAACAAGTTCTCCCATATTATTGATTCCAAGCTCTTTCAATCTGAGCATGTTTTTAAAATCACCTTCTTGAATTTTATGAATCGGATTTTTGTTGAGATCCAGGAATTTTAAATTTGGAACTTTCTCAAGTGCAAGCTGAGGAACTTTTACCAATTTGTTGTCATAGAAGGAAAGACTTTCAAGACTATCCAAGCCTACCAAGGCATTGCCAGGAATGTCTGTGAGATACATACCTGCCAAAACTAGACTCCTTAAATTGGAGAGTGGTTTGAAATTCATATCTAGTATTCCGATCACTGGATTTTCTCCAATCATGAGAATCTCTAAGTTAGGAGTAGAATCAAACCAACGGCTGTCAATAACCTTTAATTTATTGGAGTTGAGATGTAATCTCAAAAGATTCTTCAGGCCAGAGAATGCATTTGCAGAAATGCTACTGATCTGGTTGTGATTTATGTATAGCTCCTGAAGATTGCAAAGGTCTTGCAAGCAGTAGTCAGTCATCTCCGTTATCTGGTTTTCCTCCAGGTGCAAAGTAGTAAGTTGAGTGAGATTTGAGAGCCCCACGTCTTTGATACTTGTGAAGTTATTTTGTGAAAAATCCAATTCTGTTAAATTAAACAGCTGCTGGAGTTCATCTGTGGTCTTTGCAATGTTGTTGCTCTGCAACAGAAGGACTTGAGTGTCACTGGAAAGATTGCTGGGGATTTTTGTTAATCGAAGGTCGTTGCAGTCAACTGTCGTGGCTTCCCTGTACGTTGACTGTGGCGTAAACCACGGCCTGATTTCACATACACAAAGCTGTGGACATTCATTACTCTGTATGGAAGACTCAGTTAATGAATTCATTAACAATTCTAGCACCAACTGGCAAACAGTTAAAACAACTCTAGCCTTCGCCATGCTGGTCAGATAGTTCAGCTCCCCAGCCCCTTAAAATAACAACAGGTTGAGAGGGTGATTTATCAGGCAGAGAATGTAACGCTTAAAGTTTAAGGTGAAAGGCTTGGACATCCAGAAGGTGAAAGATGATTTTCTGAGTTTAGAGAAGATAAGAAATGGTCTGAAAACTCTCAGCTGCTCCTCTTGTGTTCCAGAATCTTCTGCAAATCGGCGTCTGAAGATGTTCCTGAAAACAGATTAGGGTATATGTTATGCTCACCTCATATACAGTTCATATATTGTTTAATTTCTTCATCCTTTAAATAAAAATAGCTGAAAACAATCATTATTTTAACATTCATCTCTCTTACGAAAATCCTGATGTGGTATGGTTAAGTTATGTGGGGTTTGGAACTCCCTTCTACTTGGGATTTACATGAGAAAACTCTCTGATAGGTCCCAAGTGAGTGACTGTACCAATGTACACCATCATCTGAAAATCAAACTTTTGGATACCTTTCAGTTTTACTCTGCGGTATTTGTTTGAACGGCTTGAGAAAAGCTAAAGACTGAGGATATACTTGCGAGCGCAGCTAGGTCTCAAACAAGTGTTGAGAGCATCATCCCGATGGGAGTCAGGGTGCCAGAGCTGTCCCCAAGGCTTGGATTTCAGGTGTGTGGCATTAAGGCTCAGGAAGATGTTGGTATCTAAGTTTCAAGCTAAATGCATATGAACTTTGCCAAAATTCATCCCAGTTAATCAAATCAGTTCCAGATAACAGTTTAGGTTTAATCCAGCTAAGCACCAAACAATGACAGCAAATTTGATTAAATGAATGTACTGTCCTTATTTTAGCTGTTTGTACTGCATTGTGCATCGTATGTGAATTGTTTACCACAATTCCAAATTCCTGTGTAAACCACACAATTTATCTTTTTGTAGCCTGAAGTTATTCTTGCAAGAGTATGTTTAAATTAACCCAACAGTGTCCAGCGTACCTCAGAAAATCTGTCGTGTCAGGGGTCTTTAAACACATATCCAAGGGAAACCTCAGCTCTTAGTAAAATCTTTCTCATTCTGACTTTTTTCAAAAAGTAAGCTCCAGGAAACAGTTTGTTATCCGCAAACCTCTCTATTACTGCTGTTGTAAAAAGCATGGATACGGTTCTGAGAGTTTCTGTATGTGTATCTGTAAAAATGTGCAGTTTGGGGCCTGTGCAATGTCAAATGGCACAGGTGCCTATCTTTCAGTTCAGAAGCATGTTGCCTCAGTGATGGCGATGCTGCATGGACTGATTTTCTCCAACTCTAGCACTTGTGGCGGTGATTTCACAGGCCTAGCTGTTTTTCTCTTGGCTCGCTGTGCACATCGATATTGGCAGATAAAGTACACCTTTCCAGTATTTCACAGTGAAGGTTAAGCAGGTTAGTGCATGTATTCAACAAGCTGTGAATTAAACACAAAGCATACCCGAGCAAGGCATGTGACAAATCTGAATAAGGATTTAAAGAGCAGACCTCTTGAAATTCAAGGTGACACTGTAAATCTCACGCTCTAATGATTGCAGTTGAGACTTCTCAAACAGAAGTTTTGTCTTTTTATGTAACTAAAGTAATCAAGTTGTGCTGTATCGGAGACAGAGTACATAACAATGATAAACTGTAACAGCAGAAAGCAGGAAAGAGCATCTTTTTCAATTAGAATGTAGTGAAGCCTCAACCTAGTCAAAGCCCACAGAAGATATTACTATACAAAATAATAAAACTAAACACAGCTTTTAAAAATAGTTTTTAAATAGTCTTCTAGATAGTGGTGACAGGCATGCCGTTTATACAATGCTTTTACTTCAAAATCTAATCAGCAGATTAAATAATTATAGTATTTTATTTCAGATTATGATACAATGCTGTATTTTTATTTTGACATGCTGTTATTTGTTCTGTGGTTGTGTTTTGGAGGATGGGAAACAGGAATGTCAACCAGAAAGCATTTGACCCTGTTGAGTTAAGATTTTTCTTTCTGGTAGCTGAGACTTGAATGAGAGCTGAGAAGACTCTGCTGGAGGGGGAAAAAACAGATGCAGAACAACCACTCCTCCTCAGATAACTTTCAGCTGATGAAGAATTGAATAAGACATTAACTGCATTAAAAAAAACACAATCCTAACAGCACGGTAGTAGTAAGGAATATATTAACTTCAGAGTGATGAGGAGGCTGGCATGAACTGAGTTATGCTGACTTTAATGGATGCGTCTCTCAGTAACAAAACATTTGTAGCTGAACCAAACTAGACAGTTCTAGGAATATTGATGATATCTGAAGTTTAATTGATTTCATTCCAGATTTTTCAAATTACAGTATTTGCCAGTTAATAATTTCATCCAGTCACAATTTTAGCCGGGTACCGGAGGTGCTTCGAGCTGCCATCACACCTGGGCCGTTCCCCGCGCAGGGGGATGTCTGTGGTCCAGCTTGCAGCCTTGGCTCCGAGGGGCACGAAAAGGAGCAGCACGACCGGGTCAGCAGCCCTCGCCAAACCAGATGCCACTACAAGAGGCAAGATTGCTCCAAATGCTCATGCCATCAGAGCCTCTCCTGTAACTGTTTTCTAAGTAGATGAAGAGAAAGAAGTCCGTGTCTTATAAAGCTGTGGGCCCTAGTGATGTTTTAGTACTGAATTGGCTCTGATGTAGTTATATGAATCATGTAATACTTTAAAAATGAAACTGCCCCAAAAAGACTTCAAAGCTTCTTTTAAAATATGTCGGAACACATCTAGATTTTGAAAAAAAAATCTAATTTGATCCTTCCTTTGTCGAATATTTATATCCTCTTACTTGCACATTACAGTTGTTGTTCATCCTTGGTAAGAAGGCATTTTTGGTTTTATTGACTACAGTCCTAGGTTTCTGCTCACTGTAAACATATGATTTTACAAGTTACTAGTGACACTTTCTCTTCTCTAGCTATTTTCTACTGCAAATGGATTTAATTTTCTTTAACTGGAAAATGTTCTTTAGAAATGACCTGCACATTACTGCCTCCAATCTCCCCCAGCCCAGGGCAGCTGGGATGACGCTACAAGTGAAAATCCACTGTAATCAAAAAGTACATTCTGATCGGCTCCACATGCCCCAGTCCGTGTTAGTGCTGGGCTTACGTGAATGGTAGCCCAGAGGCCACAGCATGAGGGAAAACCCAAGTCAAGGACTTTCGCTTTAGCTACTGCTTATGCCAGAAAACCCCATCCGCAGCTCTGATGATAAAAAATAGAGGCAGCTGTTATCAGTGAAAAAGTGCACTGCCGTTTTTTATATTCATAAATAGCAATGGCTGCTTTTGTTCTGCTGTTGATAGATGCTATATGCTCGACCATCTCAGCTCTCATGTTTGCAAGAAGCAGCTGCCAGCGCTCTGCCTCTGCTGAGCGGTCACCGACAGCCACCCCTCGGCCCCGGGATGTCTCAGCTTTCCAGTTTTTGCAGCATTGGCAGGACTGGTCCCAGACACCTCTGTGATGTTTAGTGTCCAAAGGAATAAAATAACAAGATGTTTTTCGCTGGAAGACTGTTTCTCGAATGTTAGACTCTTCCCAGGTTCTGAAGTCCTACCTAGAATTGTAATCACATCCTTCCAAATAAAAACTAGACAAGATATGTATGTAGGAAATCCTCTTTTTTTTGTGGATAAGCTGGAGGACAACTAGGTTTTGAAAACAAAATCTGTGACAGTATGCGGTTCCAAATAGCCACCAATGAATAATCACCAAGCCCATGTGGATAAAGCAGGGACGGCTCCTGGGAAAGTTCCCAGCTCTGGCTGGAATCTGTAAGACTGAACTGCGAGTTCGAGTGTTAGCGTATACCCCTTTCCTGCTAGACATCGCCACATTTTGCCCAGTGAGATCCTTTTTGTATTGTTGCTTTTTTTAATACAAAATTAATACAGTATGTCCGTGGCAGCTGAGTGCAGTCCAAGCGAAAGATAAGTCAGGGGATCAGTTCAAAAAACGTTGGCTTTTGAAGGCCAGGGAGTGTTTTGTAAACAAACACCAGTTTGTCCAGAACAGGGGCAGAGGAGTAGCTCCGGGCTTTTGAATTACGGGAGAATGTCAGTCCTCAAAACCTCTCTTAAGACAGAGTCATATCACAAATTTTTTTTTTTCTTTTTCTGAAAATGGTATTTAATATGGGTCATGTGATTGATGGCACTTCTTTTAATTCTATGTTAAAAATGTCTTTTAAAAATACTGGGTAAGGAAACTTCTCCTGAACAATAAGAGGGTATTATACCTTCTTTCAGGAGATACTGAGCTTGTACAGGATAGCTTTTAGCATTCTCTGCCTTCCCTCTCATTTATTAAATTCATATTTTGTAGTGTACCAAACCACAACAATAGTCATAACAGCTGTTAACTTGATATCAACAGAAATAATGGTTAATTTTATGTGAGAGATACGGAGGGAATTATTTTACTAGGGGCTAAATAAATGCATTTTCCATAGCACCTCTCAGTACTCAGTGCATTAAGAAACCACATTTCTGTCAGCAAGCAAACCCACAGCAGCTGTCTGGGATATCAGCTTGTTCATCTTCCTTGTGGGCAAAAAACGTGAGCATCATTCCTGCGGCTCCCATCCTGGAAATGCAGTGGGGAGGTTTGTATAAGGCTTCCCTTTCCGGCTACGTTGTGAAAACTGTTTGATACGGAGAATTTGTTTGGCCCAAGAAACGGTCATGGTGGGTATTTGGTTATGGAGCAGAAGGTCCTTCATTTCAGCTTTCCTGTGGGGTGGGAAGAGGTGCGCGCTGGCAGGCGTAGCCTTTCTGATGGCTGTTAAGAGTTTGTCTAGTCGTTCAGGTGATCCGAAGAAAAAGTACATTTAAGTCCACGGTGCAGTAAGAGGAGAATATGAAGGGACAGTCGTGAAATAAACTGTTCATTAAAAGTGTTCATAGTTAACTTGCCAACTAGAAAAAAAATTGATATTAAACCTTTTTTCATGGTAATAGGAAGACAAAGTGTTGTCACTTGCTTGACAACCGTGCTAGTGGTCACTATTACTGAAAAAGAGAAACAATATCGTTTGAACACAGGTATTTGGAAGTCTGTTTTGAAACAGCAATGCTATCACAGAAAATCTTCTCTCTCCACAGTTAAGTGGTTCATTCGTGCAAAATTTCTTTTATATTGCAAGTAGCCTCAGCAGAGATTTTGGTTGGCAGCCATATGTACTAA